CGTCCCCCTGCCCCCCATCCCCCCAGCCTCTCCCATGATCATATTATGCCTGTATCCAGAGCCAGCTCAAAGACCGTGGAATGCAGCTGAATTTCTCATGGGTTTATAGCCAACCAAGCCATAGTAAATTTCCCCACAGCGCGACAACTGAGAACCAACACTGCAGTGCCAGGGGCCTGAACGTGCAGATGTTGGTTGAACTGTTACCTGTGTCACTCAATGCTATGGTGGGAACATCTTTCCTTGCCAGTAAATATAGGGTCCAATTTTTAATGGCTGGACCCTATTCCATTGTATGGATGTGCTGTAAGTTATTCAACCAATCTCATTTTCAAACTATTTAAGTTGTTTTCCGGTTTGAACTATTACAAACAACCTGTGCGATTTTACGAATTTATTTTTTTCCAGATAAATAACTAGAAGGGGAATTACTAACAAAAGGACAATATTTGTAAAGCTTTTGGTACACATTACCATATATGAAAAGTCTCTACATTTACCTTTACCTGGGAGTGCATCAATTGTGTAAGAGCATCTGAGGCTCCCCCGTCACACACACACACACACACACACACACACACACACACACACACACAGACCATCCTTTTTCACAGAACTCAGTATTCTTTTTCTGTTTTGCCCATCTGATTCACTCATTTTTAAATTTTATTTGAAATCAGGTTTAAATGAAACTTTTTGAAAGGATCTGAAGGAGACGGGAAGATTTTGGATGGTGGGCTACTGAGAGGGAGTGATGGAGGAAGGGAGGGAGAATGAGGGAGGAGAAGAGAGGTAGAGAAGGGGGTAGCAGTGGCCTTACCACTGGTCATAATGCAGGAAGAATGAAGACACTTTTACTGCTGCAACCCCCACGCCCCACTCAGCTTAGGAGCCTGAGTTTGACCTGTGCCTGTTCACACCTCCCTGGCCTCCTTCTAACCCTGCAGCAAGGGTTGGGGGGTGGGAGTTTGGCCCTCCTACCCATTGTTGCAGGCCCTGGGTGGGACTCACACTCAGACCTCGGTGGTCTCCAAGTGTGAAGTTTGTGCAGAAACTGTCTGCAAGAGAGCCACCAGAGCGAGGGCACTGCCTGTCTCCTGCTCTCTGAGGGCCAGCAGGAGACAGGCCCCTCCCCTTGGGCCCTCCTGGGCACATCCCTGAAATCAGAGTCCCTGCCAGTCCTGACATGAGCAAGGGTGGCGGTGCCTCCTAAATATATAGACATGGATTTTGTCCGAATCACATGATGTCGGCCCAGGTTTTCTTTTTCCCTCTTTGTTGCTTTTAATACATAAAATGAACATGTGTTTATTTAAAACAGCTTTCAAACTTAAACAAATAATGACAGACTGTTCAAACAGACTTCGGAAATCGCCCTAATCAGGATGTTTGAAAATGCAAGGAGACTCTATGAAAGTAGCTTTTAGGACCCACAGCCCTAAAACCGCAGGGCCTACTTTGTGCTTTGGACCATAGATGGGCGAAGTTCGGGGGGCTGGATTTAGTCCCAGGGGGCGCTAATGATGCCCCCTCAGCCCTACAACCTGGCTCCATAATTTATGAGGAAGTATAGATGGGCATTGTATTTTCACATCCTGTCTTCCGCCAGAACACGTCACGTGTACATTTTAATTCACAATTTCTTTAGAAGTCACTGAGCATCTTCAGCACCAAAAGCTGACTCCCTAGAGGGAGTAATTGCTTCTGTAAAACAGCAGCCTCGGTGGACCCCCTGGAGGTAAGGGTAGATTTCCGAGGCAAGTAGCAGGCTTGCAAGAGGGCAGACTAGAGAACCAGTTAATACTTCCCCTAGTCCACATCCTGGGCCACGTTGACAAATGGCTTTGAGTCGCCTACGTTAATCTTCACAACAAACAATTTCATGGGTGAAATAAATGAGGCTCAGGGTTGGGTAATTTGTTCAAGGTCATAAGCAATAAAATGTCAAGGCCGGGATTTCACCCAGACCTTCTCACCCAAGGCCAGAGCTGTTCCGCGACCCTTGGGAGCTGTGTCAACACCTACCTCTGTGCTCATCCTTTGGGTCAAGAAATGCTATGTTAGCTCATCCCACTCTAGAAATGATGTTTTTCTTTACAACTCACCTAGAAGGGGCCCACGAGAAGCACAGTTATTTACGTGAGGCCATGGGGGTTGGGAGAGAGGATTAGTCCAGCCCCAGAGATGAAGGAGGCTTTGGAAAGGCATTTCTTCTGCTCTCTGGGACTGTGCAGCAGGCAATCTGAGAGGAAATGCCAGCCCATTTGTCCCTGCTTCCCTCCCTCTCCCAGGATGGCTCCTTGTCCCAGAAGGTCAGATGGCCAGTGTCTGAGTCCATTTCATAGCCTGCCACAGAAAATTCCATTGGCAACTAAAGAAATGCAGCCTAACCATTGATCTTCTCAACATCCAACAGCCCCGTGTCAGTGCCCTGAGGGATTTGGGGTGTCCTTTGACGGGGCTGTTGGGGGTTCTAGCCTGCCCATCCCTCAGAGAGAGCAGCTTGGAGGGGAGGGCTATTAGATGTTCGCAGCTGTGTCTGTGGGACCCTGGGATGCACTTTGCAAGAGGCAGAATTTCTCCTGCCCGTAAATATGCCCTGACCCTTCCCTGCCCCGTTTATCCCTGATTATATATAGGGAAGGTATGTTTCTTGACAATCAATCATGATCGTTACCTCGGCTTTGTGCTAAGAGCACTGAGCACATATTTTATTTATGTCTTTTAGAGCCTTGCTTTGCTAAGGCTCAAATTTAGATCATCTTAACAATAGATTAAAAAAAGAAGAAAACCCTTGCGCCCTCTCCTGGTAAAAATTGATCCAGTGCATCTGACGGCCCAGGTCACCCGCTTGTTGGCTAACTAATCTTGTGCTAATTTGACCAAAACTGTTGACACACCAGATGAACTGTTGGGTCCTCTGTGGTCTGTGATTATAGTTTCTTCGAAACCGTTCTCAGCCTTGGCACTATTGGCACCTTGGGCTGAAGGTTCTTCAGGTTTATGGCTGTCCTGTGCATCGTGAGGTATTGAACAGCATACCTGGCTTCCACCCACTAGATGCTAGCAGCATCTCCACCCCAAATCATGACAACAAAACATGTTTCCAGCTATTGCCAAATGTCCCCCAGGGACCAGCAAGACCACCCCTAGAGAGAATCACTGCCGTAAGCCCTTGTTTGCCTTTTATATAAGGTTCCACTGGTCCCTGGGCAACCAGTGAGAGAGTGAGGATGGCTCAACAGAAGCCCTTTGTGACTTCAGGAAACAATTCTGATAGCTGGTCAAATGAGTACACTACTAGGAATTTGGCTCAAAAAACTATCTGAATAAGTAGATAAACATTCATGTAAAAGGTGTATCAAAATATTGTTTGTGACAGCAAAAGTTTAAAACAACCCAAATAAAGAATTGTTTAAATAAAGCACATCCTATAGCATATATATATATATATATATATATATATATATGATGGAATACTACACAGTCATGAAAAATAATTATGTAAATCTATATTTAATAATGTGGGAGGTTCTCTTAATGATGCCTTAAACTCTCGCCTTCAAGACTACTCCCAAGATTCCCAGAAATTAGAAGGAATAATTTCAAACAAGCAGAGTAAGCACCTGGGTGAAATGTTAGGCCACACACCGAATTCAAACTAATGATTAAATGCAGAAAACTTTCATTGTCCATTGAACTAGCATATATTAAGCACCTACATGTGCCAAGACCATGCCTAGCACTGGGGAGACACAGACGACACCTGGTCCCGCTATTGCATTACTTGCCCCAAACAGAAAAAAAGCGCCGTGAAGGTTGTTGTCAGAACCTCCTTCATACAGCCATGACTTAAGTGCCCGTATGTTACTGTCTCCCATAATGGACCCGTGGGCTCCCACTCCAGGTTGTTGGAATGCTTGAATAACTCACACCACGTGAAAAAGCATTCATTTACTGATTTATATATATTCAGATGGATTTAGAGGGTTGTCCAAACACTAATTGGGTCCAAATGTGGAAGCTAATCTTCCCCTACAAATCTAAGCAATGAGCATTGCATGACTGGATCAGTGTCAGACAATCCAGAGACTTTGCTACAACGCGTTATAGGTCCGGCTTCAAAGCAGCACTGTGACTGGAAGACGGAACCGTCTTCTTTCCTCAGGGACCTGTGTGCCCAGTGACACACATGCTGACCACAAATGACCCCATGCTTTGTGAAGGTCACAGCTTGCGTTAAAGGCAGAGTTGTGGTCATCCAGGCTAGCCACCCCTGGGAGAAAGCCTGCAATGGCTTCCTTTCCCGGGGTCCTTGACCTCAGAGGCTAGGCATGCCACCAGTGGAGACCACCCCACTTATGTCTACCATATCAGCATCCCGGGCACACTAAGCACGCGCAGAGCTGCTGTCATCCCTGTAAGGGCATCAGCAAACGGAAGGGCACTGGTTTGGCTCTGGGTTCACATCCTGGTCCTGCCACTGATGAATCAAATCCTTTAACCTCTGTGAGTCTCAGGGTTTTTTTCCTCTAAAGAACAGGAATAAATAAAATGCCTCCATAAGCTCGGTATAAAGAATAAAGTAATGCATCTTAGGCGTCTAAGACCCTGGCATATAGCAAGTTTTCAATAAGGGAGTGTAGCTGTAGTCGTTGGTTTTTTTTTTATTATTATTCTTATGAATAGCCATGCTAGCGAAAATTGCGAAGCTTCCCTTATTTTTAACTGCCTTTGCTGTTTTATTTTTCCCCTTAGCACTGATTAGTCTCTCATACACTATATGATACATGTATTTTGTTTACGGTCCATCCCACTCCAACTAGAGAAAAGCTTTGTGAGGCAAGAACTTTTAATCTGTTTCATTCACCGCTGTTATCTCTGTGGTGCCTGACACATAAATAGGGCCTCAATAAATATTTCTTGAATGAAAGTGAAGAGAGTGGGTCTGCTCTCCGTCTGATATGCTTTCTTTTTCTCTCTTCCCCTCTCCCCTGCAGGATGCCTTTGTGGAACTGTATGGCCCCAACATGAGGCCTCTGTTCGATTTCTCCTGGCTGTCTCTGAAGGCTCTGCTCAGTCTGGCCCTGGTGGGAGCTTGCATCACCCTGGGTGCCTATTTGGGCCACAAGTGAAGTCAGCAGGCCTGCCATAAACAAATATGCAAAGGGTTCACTAAAGCAGTAGAAACATATGCATTGTCAGTGATATACCATGAAACGAAGCTATATTCCTTTCAAAACAAGCAAATAAACAACAACAAACAAACAAAAAAACCCCACAAAAAAAACAAAAACAGCTTTCAGGCGCAACGTCGAATCAGCTATTTACTGCCAAAGGGAAAAACAATTTATTTTTTACATTATTGAGGAAAAAAAAAAGATTTATTTATTTAAGACAGTCCCATCTTTGGAAACGCGACCGCTAATTGCCAAGCCCCACCTGTGCCGCTCCACCTGGATCCCCTGTGCCTATAAAAGGATTTGCTTTCTATGTTGTTGGCTGGACTGACTCACCATCTGAAGAGCAGACAAACTGACAAAGGACGTGACTGTTCCAGCAGCCGGGTTTCCGGCTGCTGGGGGTTTGGGAGAAGATGTTCGTTTTCCTTGCATTTATTTGCCCCAGAGGCTGTGATATTAATTGAGGGAGGTGCTTGGAGGCCAAGTGCATTCTTCCCTGGCCGGAAGAACAGACACTGCATATGGTTCACATGGTACATACCCGGTTGGAAGAAAACAATTGGGAACTTCAGATGGACTTGGTATCTGCCAAGATTTCCACACGGAAGGACAATGATAGGAAACAAATGCCCTTAAACCCTAGGAGAGTATTTTTTTAAGCTACCAATTGTGCCGAGAAGCATTTTAGCAATTTATACAATATCATCCAGTACCTTAAGCCCTGATGTGTATAGTCATATATTTTGGATACGCTCCCCCCCTCCAAAAACTGGCTCTGTGTATGAAACCGAATCCTCTGGAATGCGAGGAAGTGAACGTTTCGGTGACTTCTTCGGCACCAGCAAGGCTAGAATTACCCAGAAGCATCAGGCCGCCACAAGTGCCTGCTTTTCCGCAAGAGGCTGTAGTGTGAAGTCCTGCCTTGCCCCAGCTCGGAGGCCTCATGCTGGAACTGAGCCTGGCCGCTCGCTGGCCTGCTCGAGGGGTTTTTAAATGGAGCAGTGTGGTCTCCCAACGTCTGGAAGCTGACAGAGCTCAGAATTACACTGTCAAGAAAGAATCGTAGGAGGCCTGAGCCTGGTACCCTGGGGCCCTCCAGTTAGGCCCTTTTCCACGTGGAGCGTGGAGCCTGGGAGCCAACGCTCCTAAGACATGTATCACTTGTAAGATGTGTATCACTGTGGAGGGAGGGCAACAGAGGCCCCGCGCCTTTCATAGCAGAGAGCGGTGGTGAAGGCAAGGGAGTGTGCCACCACTTAACAGAAACGCAAAAGAGAGGAGACATCGGTGGCCTGTAAGCAGTGCGGCCGCGGAGTGTGCACGTTGGCTGCCCACCTGCCTGTGCAGTTTAGAGCAAGGCTTTAAAATGACTTTGGGGAGGGTCGTAAATCCTGAAGGAGGCGTTGAAATGAGGTGTCATCGATTAATTGACCTATGTCTATGGAATTAGGTTGTAAAACATTATCTTGTCATTGTAGTTTGGTTTTATTTGAAAACCTGACAGAGGAAAAAAAGAAAAAAAGGTCCCAGGTGTGGAGTGTGGGGATTATCTGTACATCCTGGGCATTAGAAAAAAAAAAAAAGTGTTGGAAAACTCTAGACAAGTAGTAAAAGAGGTGTATCTTCAGCTAATAAACTAGGAAGTATTTTTTCAAGTTTAGAAAGCCTTGAGACGGTGTCTACACGTGGAATAACTGTGGCATTATTGCATCATAAAGCATTTATCTGTATTAACTTTGGAATGCAATATGTTCAATGTTTAGTGCTGTGGTTGATATTTCAAAAGCTGCTTTAAAAAAAATACATGCATCTCAGCATTTTTTTTTAATTGTATTTAGTTATGGCCTCTACACTATTTGTTAGCAAAAATGATCATTTTTTCTAAATTTGAGATTATTGCCTCTTAATTCTTTAAAAGCATTTCTAAGAAGATGAGATAAGCCCTGGGTCTCAGCTACCTGAGAAACCCTGGAGCACGCTGGCCATGGCCATGAAGGCGGGCGCTTTGTTTGAACCAAGCTATGTGCACTTCATGTCAACACAGTTGTGTATTGTGAGGGGAGTATCTGTTGTCCCTTTGACCTTGTTCCTTGAGGGCTTATTGGTCCCTGGGCAAATCAGAATTGAACTCACATTATTTAGGATTGCTTGCCTGTTTGGTTAAACCCATGAGGTTCATTCAGGTTGAAAATCCAGATGGGAAGTGCCCGGGGGCTATGGTGGTTTGACCTTTAGAGAGTTGCTTTACCCGGCCTGTTTCCACAGAGACTCACCTGGAGCCCTCCTGCCCTCCTTCTGTAGGGCCTTTTTCCGTGGCTGTCCTTCATGTTCTTCCTGAAATGCAGTGGCACTCACGCCCCACACCAAGAAAGCAGGAAACCCCATGCTATGAAGCCAGACCTCCCTGGCGGGCCTCAGGGAACAGGACGATCAGACCTTTGAATGATTCTGATTTTTAAGAGAAATATTATTTTATGAAAGGTTTACATTATCAAAAGTGATGAATATGGAATATCAGATCCTGTGCTGCTATCCTGCCAAAATCATGTTAATGGAGTCAGTTTGCAGTACACTCCAAGTGGCGAGATCCTCCAAGCTGCTTTAAAAAATAACAATGAAAAAAATGGACATTTTTAATATAAAGCCGTTTGTCTTTTATTGTTATTTTTTTGTTGTTATTGTTTAAACTGGGATTTGCAGAATATTCTACAAAATGTATATATATATTAAAAACAAAAAAAAAACAAAAACTCATGGGGGCTACCTTCTGGCTGGTTTCCTTTTGCTGTGGGGTTTTGTTATCTGGTTTTCATGGTGAATGTGCCCAGCCGCCTGACCCCACAACTGTACAGTATTGTGGCTGCACTCACCCTAACAGTAGTTCTGTTTCATTTTTCTTGTTGTTAAAAATATGTTAGAAGCAATGAATGTATATAAAAGCTTCAACTAGTTAATATTTTTTCTCCTCCTTTTTTCATTGTGTCGATTATTTTGTGATCAGACAACAGAGAAAACTATTCCTACATATTTCGTGTTGAGAAGAGATTCACACCTGAATGCAAGGAGCATACGTTGCCCAAGGTCAGGGTTAAATAGAACGCATGCACTTTCCAAACTGGGATCAAGGGCTCTACAAAGAGCCATGAGGAGAAAATCACACAAGAACTTCCTCAGTCCTTCCACGCCCTTTCTGCACAGGCTGTGATCAAAACAGCTGAGGTGCGACAGCCAACAGTTCACCTCAGATTTTACAGTGGCTGAAAATTCTCACAGGTTTAAGATTTGGATTCAAGTCCCATTTCGAATTAAGGAAGCAACTTTGTATAGTTCCAACAAACAAACAAACAAACATCCTCGGCCCAGTCATTTATCTCCGCCTCTGTGGCCTTCCATTTAGATGTAACATTTATTTCATCAGTAAGTGTTTATTGCTTATCATCTCAAGACCTAGTCCTGGAAGTGATTATAAATGAAGAGGAGTTACAATAATAAGGATTAAATGCAAATAAGTGGGGCAGTCCCAACACATGTCTGGCTTTCTGATTGAACAGAATTGCAAATAATCTATATTGTAATTAAACTTATGCTAAAATGACTTAATTTACAAATGTGAACTTAAATTCTAATTTCAATTGTACTTTCAAGGCAGTGGCTGTTCTTACACTTTCTTATCACTTATAGTTAGTAATGTACACCTACTCTATCAGAAAGAAACAGGAAGGGCTTGAAATATAAGCCATTCTAAGGAAATTAGGGAGTCAGTTGAAATTCTATTCTGATCTTATTCTGTGGTGTCTTTTGCTGCCCAGACAAATGTGGTTACACACTTTTTAAGAAATACAATTCTACATTGTCAGGCTTATGAAGGTTCCAATCAGATCTTTATTGTTATTCAATTTGGATCTTTCAGGGATTTTTTTTTTTAATTATTATGGGACAAAGGACATTTGTTGCGGGGGTGGAAGGGAGGAATTTTTAAATGAGCAAAACATTCCCAAGACTGGATCAGGGTGTGGAGATTTCAGAATAGCCAGGACTGTGGGGTCTAAAACAAACAAATGCAACCTTTATTAGGGTCCGTGTTGCGCCTCCGTGAAGGATCTTATGTGACAAACAAGAAACATTTTAAAATTCTGTGATATGCTTAGTTTCTAGAGACATCACAACAACCTACAATCCAGTTCTGTATGGCAGTGCAGATGGGCCAAAATTCTTAAGCATTTGCCAGCAATGGTATATATTTCAAGCCTGGATATGTCTAATGGCTATTTCAGCAATAAATTTGCAGTTTTAACCAACAGAATATTTAATGAAAACCTTCTGGTTGGTAGAGACATCTGTTTCTAAATATTTATTATGCACGATACAGAAAGAAAAGAAAAAAAATAATGTGAACCTGAATTGGATAAGTGATAATACAGGTAGGTCCCTTATCCTTACCCAAAGAATAGTTCTGTTCCATGTCTGCTCATAGGACAGACCTTGGACAACCATGAAATATGGATCCCACTGGTCACAGAGAAAACCAGATGGAGTATGAATGGAATTGCACCAATTAATCATGACTATCCCAGAAAAATCACTTAAAGCCAATATCCTATTGATGACAAGTTTGTTTTGTGTACCCAGGTAAGCCCAGCAGATAAAAACACTTGTGCAAGATGGAAAGGCTTAATCAAAAGATCCTGGGACTGTTACTAAAAAGGGCTGTAGTGCAGAAACTTAGCAATGCCATATACCTAAACCTTTTGGGGAATCTAGAGTGAGCCTTCCAAGCTAGCTCATTTTATTAAGTTTTTCCCTCCGGGGTAGCATTTGAAAAAGTGGTAGCCGATCAAATTTCTTTTGGGGGAAGCATTAGGGGTTGTGTTTATTATACTGTTTTCTTAAGTTTTCAACCAAGTTTTGCTTTTGTTTTGAGTTACTGGGATTATTTTTGTTTTAAATAAAATAAGTGTATAAAAACTGTTTCCGTATTGAAAGCTTTTGTTATCAAGATTTCACATTTTTACCTCCCATGGCTGTTTTCAAGATTGATACTTTTTAGGGATGGCTTGGTACCCTGCAACACTATACACATACACGCACATGTGTGCGTGCACACACACACACACACACACACACACACAAATACATGGTTAGCATATTTTAGAGAGTTATGATAGACTAAGTCTCTAGTTGGCCAGCATGAACTATAAAGGCACTTTTTTGTGTGTTATCAGAAAAAGCCACATTGCCATTAAACTTTGCTTGTCTGTCCAGTTAATATTGTGGGGTGAAAAATACAGTGTGAAATATTGGTTGTGCACTAGAATTGTTTATAATGTGGTGACATAACTTTGCCCTGCCATCATTACACAAGACTTTGAAAAGCCTTTCTAACAGGCCAGTAGAGCCACCAGAAACCTCCCTCTCATGAAGCCCTGTGGGACCAGGCTATGGGATTGGCTGCCTAAAAGGTGAAACCACCTTAGAAGGTGGCCCTTCTGTGTCCTGGTTCCTCAGCCTCTTAGCTAGGTCCAAGATGGACCAACCTTGGGTTCTACTCCCTGTGACAGTCACTGTTGCTGCTGGCTGTATTTTCCCACACAAAGTAGAGATCCCAGGCTCTACCTGTGGTCCATAAGATGAAAGATTGTATAAGAAGGACAGAAACAAGTGGAAAGTTCTATTTTGAAGTGAGCATTTTAAGATAAAGCAGTCACTTACTTTGCAACGAAAATGAACAAAAAAAACCCCAAGTAGCAAGGCTCCTGTGTTCCCCCCTTATGCCGATACACCAAGCATCCACCCTCCAAGTGTCTCAGCTTCGACTAAAAGGACTCTGCAAGTAGCATCCATCTGCTGAGCATCTGCTGGGTGCCGGCACCGCACATACACATTGGAAGGTAGGTACTGGCTTCTTCTAGTCTGTAGGAGAAAACCGAGAGTCACGGAAGTTAAACGACACACCCAAGTCCTCCAACGTAAGTTACAGGAGGCAGGATTTGAGCTGTGGTATGACAGTCGCCAAGCACGTGCTTCTCTCAACTAGTGGTCCTCTAACAGGCTGCACGTGTCACCTCGGTGCACAGCGTTTCCAAGGGTGGTTTAAAGGAATCAACTTTCTCAACAAGAGCCTAGTGCGCAGGCGCTAGGGAACCACCGCTTTTCGTAGGTCCTATGTTCGAATTTGGAGGTTGGTATGGTGGCTTTTGACCTGGTGAGGTTGGCAGGTTATTCTAAAGGGGAATTCTTTTCTAGTGTATATGTCCGACTGACCATGATTTGCAGCCTTGTTCTGTTATCTGAAAAATAAGCTAGTATTCTCGTTAGAAACAGGACGTGGCCAGTTCAGACTAGTTCTATGGTTACTGAAGTAGTGACACCAAGGAAAGGAGGAAAACCTACAAAGCAGAATTGTTGTTTGTTTTTTTACCCCCAGTCTTTTTTTTCCTCCAGAGAGCCAATTTACCTGCACATTCCTGAGTATTGTCCTGCGTATTAAAACCCTTGGCTTCCCAAAAGGTCTGATTTGAATCCTTCCTTGGGAGAAGGAACTAATCTTTTTGCAAATCATTTCTTTAATTCCTTGCTTTCAATGAAGTTGAAGGAGTACCTATCTAGCCAAGATAACTGGCAGATAAGTTTTTTTTCATGTGATTTCAGAATATAACTCAGAAACTCCTTCCTCTCTCACGTACTTGTTATGTGAACAACACTCTTCAGAGCTTACATCTTAAAAACAAAAAACAAGAATGGACTTGATGGTGAACCCTAGCTCTTTCCAGTAATAGGTAATTTCTATTTATGGATACATGTACTTCCTGGGGAGGTGGAATAAACCAGCCCCATTTATCTCATTAAGAGGCATATTTCCAATCAAATTTAAATTTTGTATTTAATCAAAATGTAGGATGTATTTGTACATTTTTATCAATTGGGTAATAATAAAAGTTGTAATAATTACTCAACCCAAGAACAAAAAAATAAAGCTTTATGGTCACAAAAATTCATAGACTTACTTTTGTAGAAAATTCTGAGAGGTTAATTAAGCTTTCAGTTGTAAGAATTTCCATATTAGGGTAAAATGGAGAGTAGAAATATGAATTTGAGGGGAGAAAAGGAACAATGTAAAATTTCCAGGTGTCAAAAAATAACTTGTTCCTGTATTTTGCATGTAGGTACTGAATATCAATCAAATCATTATGATATTTATATTCCATTGTCTATAATTAAAAGTAATGTAGCAAATTTATTTTAAAATGTCAATTGTTAGTAGCTTCTCAGACAAACTTGTTATTAGTATGTGTAAAAATTCTATTTCAAACTGGCCTCAATTCAGGGATTCTCTCTTGAAATAGACACCTAGAGAAAAAAAGAAATAGTGCCCCAACCAAAGAGTGGCTAAAGTCTGATTGACGTGTTTTAAGATACTTGAGTGGGGGAACCCTAACTGCTCAGGATTTCTTAATCCCAGTAAAGTCTATCAGGAAATTACTCAAGCATTTTATCAGGAATCATAATTACTTCATGGAAGGAACCATAAATTACATCATAAAAAAAATTCTGCCACAGACAGGTTTGGACAGTTTTCTTTCTCATACTCTTAACAATGCATTGGAAATTAAATCCTTTGCAACTATTTCCATTTTAAAAATTAAATGTCAACTTAAACATATGCAAGGGTGGTACATGTCTTTCAACCTTCCTTTAGTGCCACACCAGCAGCTTGTTGGAAGACCCCTGTCCTCTCAGCACTTCTCTGGACTTGATTGGAAGCTCTCAGGTGAATGCAGGGATGGTAGGGGCAGAAGATACACTCTCTCCTCCAGGACCCAGCAGGGCTTTTCAATTGAATCTTTCTGTCAGCACCAAGAAAGCAGGTAATTGGGTAATAATAATTGTAATAATTATTCATTACAGGACCAAAAAAGTAAATAAATAAAGCCTTAGGGTTACAAAAATTCATTTA